CAGCAGAGCTGCTGATCAGAAGCTGTTGAAGCAGCAGGACAGCAGAGCTGCTGATCAGAAGCTGTTGAAGCAGCAGGACAGCAGAGCTGCTGATCAGAAGATGTTGAAGCAGCAGGACAGCAGAGCTGCTGATCAGAAGCTCTTGAAGCAGCAGGACAGCAGCATGGGCAGAACCACAGGTAACACACTGGACCACTCCTCATGTAGAACAGGCCCATCAGAATATTTAACTTTGATTTTTCTCCGCACGCTTAAATGTTTCAGTGAAACTTTACAGTAAGGACAGTTAGAGGAAATTAAAATATCCATGTTATATATTTTTAACAACTTGTTTAAATTGATCAAACTTGCAACCTGCAGTTTATTTTAGGCGACACTTATTTCTAATGTCAGAGAAACGGTTTATATTAATGTTTACCAGTCAGATCGCGTGTTTTCTGAACGAATACATTTTATTGTGTTTAATGACGTCATGACTGAACACGCAGTTTAGAGTTGTTGTTATGTACAGTCGTGATAGTACTGGATTTGTTGTCATAATATGTCTGTTAATCTCATATTTGATGCTATGTTTGAGTAAATATTTCCGAACATTAAGGCCCACTTCCGGTTCTCTTTTTTTATTTTGACTTTGACGCGTTCAGAAGTGTTTGCAAGCTTTAACTGTTAAGTGTGTTGCTCCACCATGTGGTCATAAGGGTAAATAACTATTTTAATTATTTCACCGCTCACTAAAATCTGCTCAATGAAGTAGAATTTATTTGACTTTTCATTGATGGCTCAGTAGTGAAACAGTGTATGAATTTATTTAATGCTAAATTTAATCTGTGTGCATGAATGAAATAGCACTGCTCATGAGAGCAAAGCTTATTTAAATCTAATGTTAGATTCAGTCAGTGCAGGTGAGATTTGTACGTTCATGCAGTCATACAAAACTAACTTAAGTAGCAAACAGTCTCATCTTGTTGGGTGACGTTGCCATTTCATGGTCGGAAAACAAGGTTTTCTGGCTTTAACATTAAAAAACACGCCTCTGACGGTGTAAATGTGGGGTGGTGTCATCCCTGCAGAATACATACAAACACTAATAGTCTTTTTTACAGTTTTGTGAATTGCCAAATTGGATTTCTTTTCGTGTTCTTGTGCAGAATGGGTTCCATCCTTGTGGGTGGACACGTTTAATGAGCTGCAGTACGACGACAACGAGCTGGATTATGGAGACGACTGGACTCTCAACTTTAACTACAGCCAGACAGACGAAGTCACGCATGACCAGAGGAAGAAAGGCTGGAAGGTCTACTCCCACTGTGCTTATGGAAAGTACGGACTGATTTTCCTTCTCAAAATATTCAGTATTGATATTTTTCAAATATGTCCAAAAGCTGGAATTGACGAAAACACATTGTCTTATGAAATATAGCAAAATGTCACACGTATGCGTTGCTTATTGTCTCAGCTACTACCACATCAAGTTGTAGCTAAGTTATAGCTATCATTGTGTTGGATAATGGATAATTTGATAACAAACAAGAAAAAAAAAACATAAAATGGTTAGAAGTACAGCTAGTCTTCTGTAAACTCCTGCATGTGTCTGACGTTGACTCATCTCCTCACAGCTTTCAGTGTGAAACTTGCCGTAAGACCTGGCCTTCAGCTCGGGTGGTGGTGTTGTTCCGTTACCGGCTGCGGCGAGGCCGTGGAACAGTAATCATGCGGCCCTTTGGGCAGACCTGTCGCCGCTGCAGAGAGGACGAGTATGACCTCCCCGGTTTTGCCAAGAAAGAAGTGGAACACGCTTTGCTCCGGCTTATTTCCAAAATCAGAAAGAATTGCTACAATGAGGAGGAGGAGGAGGACGGCTCGTCAACATGTTCTGCCAAAGTGAGGACCAAACCCCACGAGAAGACGCTGTGCGAGGCCTGCGCTCTGGGGATTTGCTGTCAAGATGACTAATACTTTGTGTGCGTGCGAGAGACAGATCTTTCTTGTGTCCTTTACACGTGACCTTTTTCTCCATATGTTAAAGTTCAACGTCTTTATGTTTGACAGATAAATGTAATGAACTGTATCGTATGATTGGGAACAACAGTCAAGTCAGTTGTTATAAATATATATTTGAAATGTATTTTTCTGCTATTAGCACTTTAAAGGTAACTAACGATATTTTTGTATTGATAATGGATTGATTGTGTATGTCATGCTACGCACTTTTATGCATTTATTGTATCTATGGTAAATATCTGAATTTTAAAATGCTCTAGACATTCTATTAAATTTATCGAAGTCGCGCAAACGTGTGCAGAATTGTTTTTTCAGTTTTCTTTGCTAATTGTGCTTTGAACTTGATGCGAACACATTTCAACTTCTTAAAATCTTTTAATAAAGATGTAAATATAACCATCTGTTGTTCTCTTGTTCTAAATTTTTTTTTTTATGAGTAAACGTTGATAAACTGCTAATAAGGCTAAATTAAGTTTTACAAAATGCTACACAAAAAAGATGTCTGGACAAAGGTGAAATATCAAAAATAAAATCAAAACTGATTTCATATTGTTTAGATCTTAAATATTTTCCACAGTTTTTCTATACAAACAATATTTCTCTCATTTTAATAATCTTAAAAAAATACTTATTGTAGAGTACAAATAGATTTAGGTGTAAAAATAAGAAAATCTGTTCCTTCACTGTAATAAACCTTTCAGTTTGAAGCAAAGGGAACAGATTGAATTAGGGAAGCAAAGTCAAATGTTTAAAACTCAAAAGTTGCAACATCTGGCTTCAACATCAATACAGTAAAAATGCAGTGTCACCAATAAATTAGCAAATTTGTGCATATGGTTTTCCAAACTAAAGAATAAATTTCCCTGACCATTATTTTTTTTTAAATTTTATTATCATTACTCATGTACTTGCATACTTGTGTATTCATATTAGTAATAGTGTATTTTTTGCAATTAAGTGCTAATGCCATTTTTAAAAGTGGCAGGCAGACAGTCTACCTAGATCTAAATAGTCTAGTCTGTAGATAGCTAGATGGATGGATGGGTAGGCAGGCAGATGGATGGATGGATGGATGGATGGATGGATGGATGGATGGATGGATGGATGGATGGATGGATGGATGGTTGGATGGAT